ATCAAAATCAATAAAAATAAATTTATTAAATATTTATATATAATCTAATAATTATTGTGAAAAAAAAAAAAAAATAGAAAATATTAAAATTTTATATTTAAAAAAATATTTTTTTAAAATAATTAAAAAAAATATACGACTATATTCTGTTATAATAATTATTGAGACTGTAAATAGATTAATATGTTAAAAATTTGAAATAAAATATTATTATATTTAAATATATAAGTAAAAATATATATATATATATATATAAATATTATATATATATATTTATATATATATATTTATTAATTTATATTAAAATTTTTTATACATAAATATTTTTATTTTTTATATATATTATATATTGGATTTTATTAAATTTAATATATTTTTTTTTTTTAATTATTATTTTATATTTTTAATATTAAAATATTTTTTGAAATAGTTTTTTAATTTAAAATTATAAAAAAAATTTTATTAACTTGTTTTAAATTATATAATATTTATAATATATAATAATTTAATATATTTAATTATAATTTAATTTAATTAAATATTTTACTATCTAATATTTTGATCTTTTTTGAGATTTTTAATTTATTTATAATAAATTTATAAAAGGCAATTTTATTATATGATTTACAAATGTTTTATTTTGTGTATGATAACTAATCTTTATATTCTGATATTAAAAATATGTATAATGTTTTTTATTTTCTTATGATAAAATCAATAATTCATAAACATATTCAGTAATTTATTTAAATGCATTAGAAAAAAATTAATTTTATATGTATTGGGTCATTTAAATGAAGAAATTTATTCCAAATTTTTTTTTTTTTTTAATAGATTTAAATAAACTATTAAATAGTATTAAACATATACTTTTTCTTATTTATTTATTTTTTTGCCAATATAATCTATTTTTAATTTTTTTTACATATAGTTTTTTTATTTTTTTTATATTCTGCAAAAAAATTCAATTACTTAAAAAAAAGGAGAGAAAAAAAGAAAATTATCTTTTTTTATTTATAAAATATATAAAAATCAATAATAATATATTTTTAATATTAAACACATAAAAAAAGTATTAATAAAAAAAAAAATTGTATTTTATATTGGATATTATTTAAATTCATTATTTATTTTTTTATAAAATTTAAGAATAAAAATTTAAAGTTTTCAAAATAGGTTGAAATTTTATAAAATTTTGGCATAAATGCTAATCTAAAAAATATTTATTAATTTTATCAATAAAAATTATTAATATTCTTAATTTTAAAAAAATATTATTTAATTTATATTTTATTGATATAAAGTTTAATTTTTTTATAAATATATAATTCAAAATTTATTTTATTATTTCAGTATTTATTTATATTATCTTTATTTGATTTTTAATCTTCATTCATTTTTCTTTATTTATCTATATATTTTTATTTTATTTTTTGTCTTCTTTTTTTTCTATTTCTGTTTATGTTTCTGTTTCTGTTTATGCTTCTGTTTATGTTTCTGATTCTGATTCTATTTCTGTTTCTGATTCTGATTTTGTTTATGTTTAATTTTATGCTTATTTTTATGTTTATGCTTATGTTTATGTTTATGTTTATGTTTATTTTTATGTTTTTGTTTTTGTTTTTGTTTATTTTTCTATTTCTTTTTCTGTCTAAGTTTATTTTTCTTATTCTGTTTCTGCTTCTGTTTATGTTTCAGTTTTTGTTTTAGTTTCTGTTTCATTTTATGCTTCAGTTTCAGTTTCAGTTTCTATTTCTTTATCTTTATCTGTTTTAATTTCTATTTCTGTTTCAGTTTCTTTTTCTTATTCTTATTCTTATTCTGTTTCTGTTTCTGTTTCTGTTTCTATTTCTGTTTCTTTTTCTTATTCTTATTCTTATTCTTATTCTTATTCTTATTCTTATTCTTATTCTTATTCTTATTCTTATTCTTATTCTTATTCTTATTCTTATTCTTATTCTTATTCTTATTCTTATTCTTATTCTTATTCTGTTTCTGTTTCTTTTTCTTATTCTGTTTCTGTTTCTTTTTCTTATTCTGTTTCTTTTTCTTATTCTGTTTCTTTTTCTTTGTCCTTATTTGTTTTAGTTTTGATTTTAGTTTTAGTTTTAGTTTTAGTTTTAGTTTTAGTTTCAGTTTCATTTTCTTTTTCTTATTCTCTTTCTGTTACTGTTTCTGTTACTGTTTCTTTTTCTTTTTCTTATTCTGTTTCTTTTTCTTTGTCTTTATCTGTTTTAGTCTCTGTTTTAGTTTCTGCTTCCGTTTCTGCTTCTGTTTTTGCTTCCATTACTGCTTCTGTTTCTGCTTCTGTTTCTGTTTCTGTTTCTGTTTCTGTTTCTGTTTCTGTTTCTGTTTCTGCTTCTGCTTCTGTTTCTGCTTCTGTTTTTGTTTCCGTTTACGCTTCTGCTTATGTTTCTGCTTATGTTTCTGTTTCTTTATCTGTTTCTTTTTTTCCTACTTCACGTTTATTGTTATTTTTATCATCTGTTTTCTCCTATTATTCTTTAACTAATTCTTCATCTTTTTAGTCTATTTCTTATTTTTTAGCTTACTAATTTTCTTTTTTATTTTCATTATCCGTTTGTGATAATGTTCCATTATTTTTTTCTACTTAGGAGTTAACTTTTTTTTTTTTTTAATTTTCTTTCTATTATTATAATTCATCTTCTTAATTTTCTTCTTATTTAATTATTTGTTCTTTATTATCTTTTTTTTTTTTTTATTTTCCATCTTCTTTATCTTTTTCTTTTTTTTATTTTGAAGTCTTACTTTTATTTTATTAATTATCTTAACTAATATTTACTTCTCTGGCTTTATTATTGTCTTCTTTATCTTTGTTAGTATCTTCTCCGTACTTATTATCATTTTTATTAATATATTTATCATCTTCACTATCTTTATCATCTTCACTTTCACTTTCTTCACTATCTTTTCTATTTTCGCCATCTTCACCATCTTCGTCATCCTTTTTATTATCTCCGTCTTCATCATGTTTAATATCTTCACTATCTTCTCCATCTTCGCCATTTATGCCATCTTCTTGATCTTCTTTATTTTCTCCATCTTTTCCATCATTTTCATCTTTTTCATCTTCTCCTTCTTCTCCATCTCCATCTTCGCCATTTATACCATCTTCTTTATCTTCTGCATTTTCACCATCTTCTTTATCTTCTCCATTTTCATCATTTTTATTATTTTTACCATCTTAAATATCTTTATTGTCTTCATCTTATTTACGATATATACTATTTTCTTTAGCATCTTTATTATCTTGATAATTTTCATTTTATTTATGCTCTTAAGTCTATAATTTAAGTTTTTTTACTTCTAATTCTCTTAATTTATTATCTTTATTTTTTTTCAAAACAGAAATTTGATTTTATAATTAAATTATTTGATTTTCCACTATTAATAATCTATCATTTTTTTATTCCAAAATATCCTATTTCTTAAATAAAAATGATTAAATTATAAATTAAATAATAGTTTACTTATTTAAAAGCAAGCATTCTCTAATTTTCAGTTTGATTTTCAAATTATTCTTTTCTTATTTTTCTTTATTTAGCTATTTCTTAATTTTACTTATTTTCAAAATCTATTTATTTAGAAATTTCTTTATCATTAGATTTTCCATTTAAATACAATTTCTCGTTTTGACAAACATTATTTGTATCGCTTTTCTAATAATACCAACTATTGACAGCGCATTAATTAGACTTTAATTCAATGCAACTTTCAATAAATCTTTTATTATCATCACACCATCCACAATTTTCATGTTTTATGCAACTCTTAGAAAAAAATAAAATAAATAAATAAATATAAAGTTAAAAATACATCACAATCAGTATACATAATACATTCATCTCCTTAACAATATTTATAATTATAAAAGTCACAGTGAATATTTAATGGAGCAATATTGTCTCCTTCTACACATTTCATTTCTAAATTACACCATCCACATTAAATATCATTGGTACATTAAAAACAATCAGAATATGAATCACATTTAGAACTTATTTAAGGAAGTTCTTTTTAAATTATTGGAATGTCTTATTTTAATTATGATTACTCTTATTAATATTAACTAAGTTAATTTTATAAAATCACTAATTATAAATCAATATTACTTAATGTATTCTCTTCCAAAGTTTATTGTGTTTAAACAACTTTATCAGTTATTTACTAACCTATTTCATTTATTTTTATATTTACCTAATTTGACAATTTATTAATTTAATTTACTGTGCTTTTTTTTAAGTTTTCAATTTATTCACTTTCTTATTATTATCCTTATTTTATTGGTTCAATTTCTTGATTGACTAAATCTTTTACTTATTATTTTATTTAATATTTTTAGTGAGATGTTTTATTTTCTTTATAATCATTTTGAAATTCATCTTATTATTTATTTTATTAATTCAATTATTGTATTTTTTACTCATTTTCATTCCAAGGTAATAATAATTCTTATTATGATTAATTTAATATTAATTTTATAGATTTTATTTAACAAAATATTATAAATACTAAAAATATTAACTATAATCTTAAATTCATTTTTAATTATATTTAATAATAAAAAAATATACTTTTTTTTTTTTCTTTTTTATTTTTTTTAGAAAATAATAATTATTTATATCTTAATTGAATATTAGAATGAATATAATAAAATATTTTAATTTAAATAATTAAATTACTGTTTTTATAATATAAAACGTAAATATAAATAAAAATGTTTTTAAGTATTTTAATTAATAAATATGTTTATTTATATCAGTTTATTTTACATAATTTTATTTTATTTATTTATTTATTATTAATAATAATATAAATTATTTATTTATTCATATTAAAAAATATATGTATTTTTAATTTGATATAATAAAGTAAATTAGATTAACTATAAAACTGAATATTAAAATATATAAATAAAAATTTAGTTTTTAATTTACTAATAAATAATAGTCTATATTTATAATTTAAATAAAATAATTAAATTTCTTAAAAATAAATTTTTAGATTTCTTAAATATTAAATAATTATGATAAAAAAATTTTACTCTTTCTAAAAATTACATCATTTTAATAACTATTATATTTCAAAATAAAGATAATGTTATTATAAAATATTAAATGTTTCTACATCAGCAGCATAAGAAGATATAAAAAAATCATACAAAAAGCTTGTTAAAAAATATCATCCTGATGCAAATATAGAAACACCGGAAAATGTAATCCTTTTACATTTATATAAAAATAATAATGTTTTTATAGGATTATTTTAAATAAATAAATGAAGCGTTTGAAGTACTTAAAGATGATAATAAAAGAGAATAATATGATATGGCAAATGGTAATTAAAAATAAATAATTATTAAAAATTTTATTTTATTATAAAAAAGGTTTATAATCAAGACGAAAATTTTACGAAGGTTCCTATAATTAAGCGAATTAAAAATATGATTATAATACTTAATAAGAGTTTGTTTAAAATAATTTTAATTAAGATGAAAATAAAAATAAAGAATAAGTAGAATAATCTATGAATTATTTTGAAAAAAAATATTTTAAAAATACTGATTTTTTCAGAAAAAATTTAATTGATGACAATCCGTTTGAATATACATTTAGATTGTATAAAAAGAATTAAGAAGCAGTTTAAGAAAAAAAAAAAGAATATAAAGAATTTTTTTCTGGAACATCATCAAAGTATTATGTCCATAAAAATGAAGAATTACTAGCTTAAAAAGAGAATACATTATTAGGATAATTATAATAATTTAATTATATAATTATTCTTTCAATAATATTGTCTGTTACTTATTTCACTTATGTAAAAGATGATAAGTAAAATTAAAAAAATAAATACGCAAAATGATTTGAAAAATGTTTTAAAAATAAATATAAAAAAATAATAGTATAAAATAATGTTTACTATAATACTATTATATTAAAATTAATTATTTTCTCTGTTTATTTATTATGTAATTAAATATTTTATACTTTCTTAAAGCAAAAAAAAACATTTCAAACAAAGGTAATTTAAATATCTATTATATTCAAAAAAAAATTCTAATTATTACAAAAAAAGTATATTTATTTAATGTTTTCTTTTTTTAAATTAGTAATTAAATATCTAATAATTTTGTAAAAATTAATTTAATATAAAAAATATTTTTAAATATGCAATATTATGTTAATAAATAATTTCTAATTTAATATATAAAAATAAATTATAAAATATTATAATATATTTATTAAATGCTTTATTTTTTAGTTATAAAAATATATATAAATTATATAAATATTATTTATTAAATTTTTTAATAATAATAAAAAATTATTTAGTGATTACTTTAAAATCATTATTATTTTTTGGAATTTTCAATTTAATTTTTTTCTTTTTCCTTTATAAATCTTCATTTTAATTTTTTTTATCTAATTTTAGCAGTATTTATTCTTATTTTATAAAAAAGCACATCATATTTTATAGTTTTTTTTTTTATAAATATTAATCAATATTTATTTTTTCATAATTATCTTATTGTATAAAGTTCTTCATTGCTATCAATTTTTAATATAAAAATATATTAAGCTAATATACCATTAAATATTTAACGTATTCGTTAAAATGGAATCACATGAAAAAATTTGAAGAAATAACTTATTTAAATAAAGAAAAAATTATTAAAATATATTTAAATAAAATTAAAATAAATCCATATATCATTAAATATATAATTTAAAATAAAAATAATTAAATTTCAAATAAATCGGAAATAAAAGAAAATTATAATAAAAATTTTATAATAAATTATAAAGAGAAAAAATATATTTTATTAATTAAACTTTATTTATAAAAATTGATTAAATAAATATAGAAATAATATATATATTTTAATAAAAAAATATTTTAGTTTAGTTTCAAGTAACTGTATAACAATTGTAATGATTAATATTTAAATTTGAATAAATTATATAATTATTTTATTTAGTTAATTTTTATAATTAATATTCTAAAGAAAAAATAAATTTTATTGAAAATCATTATCTTTTCATTACCAATATAATTAATTTATAATTAATATTATTATTATTATTATTATTATTATTATTATTATTATTATTATTATTATTATTATTATTTATTTTTATTAATATTATTATTTTTATTATATTTTTTTTTTCACATATAATATTTTATTTCTAATATTTTTTTTATTTAATTATTTGTTTATTAAAATTTTTTTTTTTGTATATTTATTATATATGTATAATTATTTTATATATTTATATTTTATTACTATTTATATAATTATAAATAATATATTTTTTTTTTTTTTTTTATTACTTAATTTTTATTATTTTTTTTTTACATTTTAAAATTTATATTAAATCTTTATACATTTTTAAAGTTAGATTTGATTTTATAAATTATTTCATAAATATATTATTTTTTTATATACTTTTTGTTTATTTTTTAAAAACATATATATACAAATTATATTTTATTAATTTAAAAATATATTTTTTTTAATTATTTATCATAAATTTAATTTATAACTTTTTAAATTTATGATAAAAATTTTTACATATATTTTTTTTTATATATATATAGATCTAGTAAATTTTCATAAATATAATTTCGAAGCATTGATAATTTTAATTTAAAAAAACTATTAAAATTAAAATATATTAATTTAAAAATAATTAAGTATTTAATAATTAGTATAAACTCAAAACATTTAAAAATTAAAAAATTATTAATAATATAGAAATTATATTAAAATTTGAATATATTTTTAAAAAATAATAAATTCAATAGATTAACTTTAAATATATTTTAATTAATTAATTTAATAATTATAATTAATTTTATATTGTTTTATCAATATCAAAATATAATTTTTTACAATATATATATATATTGGAAATTTAATTAAGCAGTTTTTAAGTGTGGACTATAACAATAATGTTTTTTGCTGTTTTGGGAAACAAAAAAAATCGAGATCATGAGAGTTTACAATATGATGGGATACAGTAATATTTTTTAATAAATTTAAAATGAAAAATAAAAATATTAAATTTGTAAATATAATATAAAATTATATTTTTTTTTAAATAAAAATAATCACAATTAAGAAAAATTTTATTTTTAGTGCAAATTTATTAATATAAAGTTTATATAAAAATACAATAAGTTTTTAATCAGTTTTAATTTTAATCATAAATAATTTCTATATTTCATTAATTTAAATTATTATTATTTTGAAAAATCATTTTATTTTTGTTTATTTATATATAAATTTAAACTATTTATATTTAAATAGTTTTAAGTTTAATCTTAGTTTATTATTTTTTATTAATCACATTTTTAACTTGCTTTGTCACTTACATAATCTTAAAATGAGTTTTTCATATTGATATACTTTACAAAGTCTTTTTTATGAGTTACTTATATTTAAGGATTACTTTTTTAAGAATAATTTGCTCTAATTATAGATTAGTTATTTGAAAATTATGATTATATTTTTTATTTTATTTAATTTTGACTAAAATTATTACCATTTGTTTGAAATTTAAATTAAGTCTAAGTATTATCTGAAATTTTTTAAAAAATATTTATATTTTTCTACAATTAGATATTTTCAAATTAAAATTGTTCGAATTTATTTGAGCTATTTTTTTATGTTATAATAATATTCTGCTCATTTGTATGTGCATTTTATAATAAACTCTTTTGTTTTATACTTTATTTAGAAGTTTAAGAATATTATTAATCAAAAAAACTTCTTTAATTTCTTTTTTGGTTACTTTATTAAGATGAATTCAATATAATTTTATCAGTTTAAGATTGAAAGCTTTTTAAAATTTTAGTTTATTTATTATAATGACTTTAATTTGTATCTATTATTTTTTATTCTGAAAAACTTCTTAAAAATTAATTTTCTAAATTTTATATGACTTTATAGAAATGCCATTTAAAGTATTTTCAATATATTAATCTTCTTAGTTATTCTTAATATAATATGTGTTCGAATTAACTAAATATTATTTTATTTTATTTTTAAATAATTTTTTTTTTTTTACAGACTTTTTTTATATTTTTTAATTTTATTTTATTGACTAATTTATTAGTTTACTACTTCAGTATGTTTTTTTTATTTGAATCTTTTAAAAAAGTTTTATTTTTTGTTTATAACAATTCTTTCAACATTTTGTTTCTGAGACTTTTCACAAATTTGATTTGCTAAAGAGCAATTAATTTTAAAAAACTCTTTTTTATATTTTTCTAAGCTTTTGTTTTTTATATATTCTTCTACTTCTGTATCATTAATTTAAACATTTTATGATTTTTTTTTTTCATTTTATAACATATTTTTATCAAACATAATCTAATTTTTTATTGAAATTGCTTATTTAATTTATTCTTATTGGATTTAATTTAATTTTTTATTTCTCTCATCTTCATAAAATTAATTTAATCCTTCTATATTTTTTTAAGGTATTTTTATCTTTATTAAATGTTCAAGTCTTTCTTATTTTATTTATTATTTATTTTCCACTTATTACTATAAACAATCATAAAAATTATAACCAAGAATTTAATATAGTCCCTTTAAATATTTAAAAAAAAATAAAAAAATATTTTTTACTTTTTATTCTAATTAATATAGTTCACATTCTTCACTATTACATATAGCTCTTTCTTGTCTTTCAGGAATTCCTTTCACTAATTCTTCATCTCCAAAAAAGCTGCCTTATCCAACAATTTTTAATGTATATTATTCATTATTTTTAAAGCAAATTTTTAATTAATTTTAATTTAAGGTTTCTTCATCATTAATCTAAACAGGTACTTATTGTTTTTTTTTAATAACTATATCTCCTGATTTTATTAAGAAAAAATAATTGGATGGATCTCCTTCATTATATATAGTTTCCTTAATTTTAACATTAATAATTTTTAACTAATGTGCAATTTAATATAATTTTCTAATAGGAATATTTTTAAAAAATTCAAAACTTTATATGAATTCAACTTTTTCGTTTATTATTGATTTTTTGGCAGTAATCATTACTTTATTAAATCCTTTTTTGTTTAAAACCATAAAGTGAGAATCTTATCTTGCTATAATAGTAGCTGTTCTAAAAAAGAAAAGAAAAGAAAATAAAAAAAGAAAAATAATTAAATATGAAAAAATTAAACAAATACCTTTCTTATTAGGTTAGTAATGAAATTTCTCCAAAATACTCGCCTTCATAAAAAGTTTTTGCCAAAACAAAATCTGGAAAGTTTTCTTTTAAATATATTTATTCTTTTTCTTCATCATTTTTTTCATTATCAAGTTCCTAAGTCTAATTATTTTATCTTTATTTAACTTAACTTTACAAACTTTTTTTCATATAATTAAACTTTATTTTACTAACAAAATCTTTAACATTATCATCTATTACGGATTTTTTACTTACATTTGTAACTAGTTTATTTAAAAAATTCCTTGCTAATTTTTCTTTTACGGTTTCATTTTATTTCTCTTATATTTAATTTAAAAGTATTTTTCTCTTTTATTTTTTTTATTATTTTTAATCTTGAATTAAACAATAAACTGATCCTTTAAAATTTAAAATTATTAAAAATAAAAATCAAAAAAAGCATAAATATAGTAAAAATAATAATTCTACCTTTAATAACCACAAACAATTCTTAACCCTTATCACCTTTATAAATATTTATAGTATAATTTTTTATTTTTTTTCAAAAAAATATAATAAAAATACCAAATGAGAATATAACTTCATGCTTTTTATGAAATCTATAAGTCAATTCATTAATTAATCTTATTTATTATTTTCTTACTATTATTGGACTTTGCTAGCAAAAAAGCTTAGTTAATATATAATTTTATTTAAAAATTCTATTTCAAGTTTATTTTTTAATTTTTTTCTTAGAGCATAAATAGTAAACTTAATTAAATATATTTTTTTATTTATTTTAAATAAAAAAATACATTTTAATTTTATTCATATTTCAAATCTACAAATTCTTATGATAAAATATCATAAATCATTTTATCTTTTCGATTTAATTATATTTAAGAAAAATCATTTTTTTCTAAAATTTTTAATAAATTATCTGAATTTAATCCTCCTCTTTTTAAAAAGAAATTTTTAGTTTCTAAAATATAATTCATTGTATTAATTTTAGGTTATATTTAATCTAGATCGTATTGAGGTTTAATATGTTAAAGCGTAGCAGTCTTTGAAATATCGATTTCCGTTTATATTTATTCATAAGTTTAATTTATCATTTTTAAAGATAACAGATTATTAAATGTATCAAAGCTCATTTTTTATATTAATTTTATTATAATGTATTAATAAATAAATATTTATTATGAATTTTAAATTTTATAATTTATAAAAAAAAAAAAAATATATATTAATTAATCATATTTTTTTTATCGGTATTATATTTTTTAAGTAAATTATTATATTTAATTTTTCATTTAAGTTTATCTAAATATTAAAAAATATAATAAAATCAATGTATATTAAATTAGCAAAAAATTAAAGTAAAAATATAAAATTTTAATTTTTTTAATAATTTTAAAGCTGATTTTTTTTAATTTCAAAAATATATATCAGCTTAATATTTTAGATTCTTCTATTTGTTTTTTTTTAATGCACGTATCAATAAAAAATCAATAAAAATCAAATTCAAAAAATCAATTAAATTAAAAAATATAATAAAATTAAAAGTTAACATATAAAAAATAAAATAAAATGGAAGGTGAAGAATATTCAGAAATATAAGATAGTTTTGAAAATGAATAGTATAGTTAATTAAATATTATAGGTTTATCCTTTACAATAGGTTTAATTTTAGTTGCTACTTTATTTATACTTTTTTCTCGAAACAAAAAAAAACTATTGTGAAAAATAAAGGGAATACTATTTTTATAATGGGTGAATGTGCTTCAGGTAAAACAGCTTTGCTTTATCATGTATTATTATAATTAAATATTAAATCAATATATTAAATTGTTTTGTAAAATAAAGTTGGCAAATAAATCCTTTTTTGCAACAACATCTTCTATAGATGCCACTGAAACATAAATAGAAATAATATTAAAAAATGAAGTATTCTATTAAAAATATTATAATATTCTAGATTTTTAAAATTAATATATATATTTATAAAAATAGTAAATTAAAAGTGTAAGCTTTATAGATATTCCAGGACATAATTATACTAAAACAAAATATATAAGAGAAATAGGAGCAGCAAGAGCTATATTACTTTTGGCTGATAGTGTGGATATGTATTTTAAATTATAATATATTTTATATTTAATTTTTCTTTTTTGACAATATAAAAAGAAAATTATTAGGAAATTTAGCTGATTACCTATATTAAATATTAATACAAAAAGTTTATTAGGAAAAAGATATACCGATTCTTATCTGTGTTAATAAAGCAGATTTGAAAGAAGCATTAAAAATCGAAGATTTCTAACATTTATTAATTAAAGAAATGTATATTTAATATATATTATATTTTTTTTAATTTTTTATTTAACTTTCTTTAAAATTAAATAGTGAAAAAGTCAAAAAATCTAAAAAAGCAATATAAGAAGATGATAACTAAGACATAAAAGATTATCTAAAAGTAAAAATATTTACATTTATTATATTTATTCTAAAAAATTTAAAAAACAATTTATTTCAATATTTTTTTTAAAAAAAGAAACAAGATTAAGAATTTAATTTCAAAAACAGAAACATCAAAATTTGTGAATGTAGTGTTAAAAATGGATAAATCGACAATATATTATCATTTATCCAAGAGATATATAATTGATAAATTAATTTACATTATTTTAATTATTATTTATTATTATAATTTAAATTTTATAAAATAAAAAATAATATTAATAAAAAAAGTAAAAATTATTATTTTTAAAAATAAAACACATTTATAAATCCAAAATAATAAATCTTCTATGCATTAGATATTTTAATATTAAATCGAACAATAGCTTATTAATTTAAATAAGTTTCTTCTTTAAGTTATTTCAAAATATTATGTAAAGTAGTGAAAATATTATTTTTATTAATATATAAAGTCTAAAGATTTATAAATAAGAAATATATACAGTGAAAAAAATTAATTTAATATAATAATCAAAATAAAAAAAATTCAAAATTAAATAAATAAAATAGTAATATTAGTATCAATAAAATAGTAATATTAGAATCAATAAAATAATCATATTAATATCAATAAAATACAAATGTTACTTTATTATATTCATTATTTTATTTTTAATGTAATATTATTTTAAATACACAATCAAAAAAAAAATCAAGAATAAATTAATGAAAATAAAAAAAAATCTTAAATTTTATATATAATATTAGATTATTCGGAAAACGGATATTTAGAAATATTAATAATTTAAAAGAAAATTAATTATTAAAAGTATTAGAAAAAAAATAGAATTTTGACTCAGTATTTTTACTCAAAAAAATAATATTATATAATAACTCAGTGAATATTTTCTTATTTTAAAATTATATTTTGACTATCCTCTTATACTTCGCCACTTATTTGCTATTGATTAATTACTTATATTGATTTTATATTAATGCTTTTATTTAAAATAATTTTCGACAATTTTTTAATTTTATGAAAAATAAATTTTTTGATGTTTTATAGAGAATTATTGAATAAATACTAAGATTGAAAAAAATTATTAAATTTTCAATAAAATTTTAAAAATAAATTATATAGTTTAAATAATCTATTTAATATTAATAAGTAATTATCTATTTAAGTTATACGAAATTAACTAAGTTTATTAAATTATATAAAATTATTTTATATATTATATATTTATTAATTTTCTCAATAAAATATAAAAATATTTCGTTGATATATATTTATAAGAAAATAATATTATATTCCTATTAGATTTCTTTATTTAACTATTTAAATAAATAAAAATACAAGATCATTTTCTAAATTATATTTTATATTGGATAAATCTAAAGTCAACATAATTAAAATTTCTATAATTTAAATAAATATCAAGGAAATAATCCTTTAAATTTTTATAATTTATATAGATAAATAAATAAATAAAATACTAAAATAATATTACTAACTATTTTAATAGTGTGATCGAATAATTATTTTATTATTTAATTTAAATCATATTTATGCTTTCTATATAATAAAATAAAAATTATTAAAAAAAAAAAT